AAATAGCTAGCTTTCCAAAACAGTCCAGTGGAGCCTGAGCGGTGGGTGTTGCCTTCTGACACACTTCCGGTGATGTCACGGGGTGTGGCATATGCAAGTAAGTTATGCTAATGAGCTCCTGCACCTCTTTTTCTACGAAATGACCCCTGCATACATAGATAAATAGATTAATGCTGCATTTTATGAAAGGCTTTCGTATGCTCTTCATATGATGTAACCTAGACCAAGATAGTACTTAAAATGAAAAGTCTGAGTATTTTACATGATGGAGTAAGAGGAAAAATCCTGCTGTCCAGCACTTAAGATAAGGAAGAAAGAGCTGGGACTGGCCCATTGCTTATTGTCTCAATTATCGGAGTCATTATTAAGGCCAGATTATCAGGGTGGCTACCGCTTAGGTCCTTGGAGGAAAAAGCCCTTCGGTTGACTCCCCCAATATGGGTTTCATGTGATTAATGGAGGAGTTGCTTCATATTCCTTGCATGCCCTCAAGAGTGACTCACTGTCATTTTGAGATCAGTTTGATCCAAATCTCATTCTTCATTGCTAAGCCCATGCTAAGATGTGCATGTGAACAGGGATCAAAATGGAGGTCCCCTTGTGAGGGGGAGTCTGACTCCCATGGCATCACAACAAATAGGGCACAAAGGCCAAGGCCTTCTCTCAGTGTTGCCTCCTAGTACTAGTATTAAGAAGTTTTTCTGCCACTGAATATGGAAGTTCCCTTTAGTCAGCACTGGTGAGTAAAGAAGTACTTCCCTTTGTTCACCCTGAAATCTGTTGCCCATGAACTTCATTGTGTGCCTCCAGATTCTGTATTTTGGGAAGAGGGAGAAAAAAGTTCTCTAGATCCACTCTCAGTGCCCCATGCATGATTTTATAAACCTCTACCCTATTTAGAGTTATTCTAGTCTAAACCCAATGAAATCATTGGGCTTAGATTGCAGCAACTCTGCACAGGATCACACTGTGACTCACACAGGAACTGAGCTGCTACAAGCAGTCCTGTTAAAAATGTAATCACTGTGACTTGAAGTGAAGTGCTTCTTCAGGTTTTCAAAGGCAACTGGCATCATGTAAAAGTGTTCCAGGCAGATTCCACAGGCTGTTCGCAAGGGTCTCATGAAGATCACTTGCAGTACTTTGGACTTGACATTTGGAAATAAGTCACGTTTGAGGAAAATGTTGGCCTCGCTTCCTGTCAGGAAGGAGTTGCAGAGTAAGTACAAGCAGACCTTGGATGTAATGATTTTTGCAGCCCGCACAGCAATTGCTACGTGTTGGAAAGACCCAAAACCTCCAAATCTGAAAATGTGGTATCAAAAAATGTGGGATCAATTCCTCATGGATTCTGTCACCAGTAAGCTAAACAGAACAGCTCTGAAACCAGTGATTAAACCCATAATAGAAAAATGGAATCCTATTTTAGAATTTTTAGCCTCAGAAGATTTTTTGCCTTCCTCCTGGCAACATATGCAGAGATGGATGTAATTGTTCTTGCGCTCTGGTACTCAAAATTGGATAGGACTTCTAAAAGTTCCCTTAAAAATGCTCATGTTACACCCAGTTTGCACTTGTCTCTTGATTCATAAACAGTTGAAACAAGTGGGTTCTTTGATACCCCACAAAGTTAAGTAATTATTTTAATCTTGTTAAAATTTGTTGTAATTTGTTCAGACTTTTGATGTTACTTAAATCTGCAAAGGATTAACTATTCTTACAATGTATTTGATAAATATATTACTTGATATATGACAAAATTAATAAAAACTTTAAATAAAAAAGGAAGGAGTTGCAGAGGTGTAGAACAATGTCATTATTACAGTATTTTGGAAAGATTCAATTCTCCATTCTTGCCTCTGGAGCTGATGAGGCACCAGAACCAAATCACACTGCTGCCTCAAGCAGCAAACCTCCAGGTTTTCTCATTCTTACTGAGGGCAGAGGATGATCTGCACTATTTTTTTCCTGTAGGTAAAAAAAATCTTTTAGAAGGAGCAAAACGGTGGTATAATGGATCATCTCAGGAGGTGACTTTTATTAAAGATATAGTTTTCCCAACATTAATAGTCCTGCAGCCTTAAACAGATACATTTGCTTATAGTTGTTCTTTATCTTTTCCCCATTTTGCAATCCCAGTTTTGTTCTTCTAGAAATCTTTGCTGTTGGGTTCAAGACACTGTAATATCTTATAATGAACTTACTTATTGGCTGATGTTATCATATTTTGTAATCTGCTTGCTAATCGTCTGAAAAAGTTTCATCATGCTTGTAATCCACTTTGCTTCCCAGTGAGAAAGGCAGACTATAAATACTAATAAACATGTGATGGATTTCATTACCACCAATAATTAAGACATTTTCCCACCTCAACCTAAACCGTGTATTATTTCCCAATGTTACTCCAATAGCGTAAACAGCTGCTTGGTATAGCCGGTTCTGGTCTGAAAAAGAACCTGAGAAGGTGGGAAAGCTTAAATCCCACCCACCCTCATGAACAGGTCTGACTTTTTTAAAACAGGAGGGAGCTGGCAGCTTTTGTTCCTGGAACTCTCAACATCAGTTTGTTCTGTTTCAAACATGTGTATTGCACAAAAGGACATTACTGCTCTGACATAACAGACCAACTGAGAGGTATACTCAGGAGCATAGTTTACAGAATTGGGACCTTGTGAGAATATCCTATCTGATTTCTTATGGGATTTCTGGAGCGAGGAGGTGAATGGAAGTCTACTCAGTAAGGACTACTTGCCTGTCAAAGAAAAATTCAGGTGGGTAGCTGTGTTGGTCTGAAGCAGCAGAACAAAGTTTGAGTCCAGTGGTACCTTTAAGACCAACAAAGTTTTATTCAAAGTGCTCATGGTCTTGACACTCAGTAGTACTGTATGGCTGCGAGAGTTGGACTATAAGGAAGGCTGAGCACCGAAGAATATATTCTTTTGAATTATGGTGCTGGAGAAGACTCTTGAGAGCCCCTTGGACTGCAAGGAGATCAAATCAGTCAATCCTAAAAGAAATCAACCCTGACTGTTCCCTGGAAGGCCAGATACTGAAGCTGAAGCTCAAATACTTTGGCCACCAAATGGGAGCACTCACTGGAGAAGACCCTGATGCTGGGAAAGACTGAAGGTCAAAGACGAAGGGGACAGCAAAGGATGAGCTGGTTAGACAGTGTTATCGAGGCAAGGAATATGAAATTAAGCAAACTCTGGAGTACAAGGGCCTGGCCTGATGTGGTCCATGGGGTCGCGAGGAGTCAGACTCGAGTGTGCAACTGAACGCTTTTCTTTGCAAAGCACACTTCTTCAAACAAATGGACATTCCATTTCTCTGAAGAAGTGTGCTTTACACACGAAAGCTTACTTTGAATAAAACTCTGTTGTTCTTAAAGGTGCCACTGGGCTCAAACTTTGTTTTACCTGCCAAAGATCCTCCATCAATGAGCATGTTCATATACAAATCAAACCTGGAGTTGACCTCTTTCCCCGGGCGTGACAACTTGGCTTCCTATTTCAGCTTCTCTGGCTAATTAATTCCTTTAAATTTCAGTGTCCCAGCATCAAACAGTATTGCCAACGCGCCCAACTGTCCTTCTTCGTTCTCCGTCAGCTTGACACCTGCCTTAACCGCGCCCCTCCTTCCCACGCCCCGCCCCAGTAAAGCCACGCCTCCCGTCCAGCAGGCGAATCCCGATAGGCCCACGTAGGCACATGGTAAACTCCGTACGGCCAATCAGCTGAAGCCACAGCGACGTCTCGAGGCGGAAGAGAAGAGGAACCGGACGTTGGCGAGCCTATATAAGAAGGCCCTCGTCCGAGGCGCGGCTGTTGCGAGACGCTGCCCTTGAGGGGAGGTTAAAAAAAGACAGAAAACCTTTGCTGGTCGTAATGGAGGAAGCCACGGGAGACCGCGGTCGGGACCGAGGCGATGCGGCGTCTGGCGTCACCCTCATTGTCAAGAGCCCCGCGCAGCGGCACCCTGATCTGCTTCTGCCCGCTCAGCGCTCTTGGAGCGTTCGGCGCCTCAAGGCGGAGCTGCGACGCCTCCACCCGGACGGACCGGTGAGTCAAAGAGACTCTTTCGCTCTACCCTTTCACCCCCTAAGGCCCCTCACCCTCTTGTAATGGGGGGCCCCATGGACTTAGCTAATAGAGCGTTCTGGTACCACGTGATGCGAGGCGGGGCAAACACCGCCGTTGAAGGGAGGGGGGGAGGTCGCTGCGCCTCCGTGTTTTTGTTTGGTCGTTGGTAGGGTTGCCAGCTCCAGGTTGGGAAATACCTGGAGTTTTTTGGGGGGTGGAGCCTGAGGCGGCCAAGGTTTGGGGGAGGGACTTCAATGGGGATATAGTGCTATGGAGTTCGCCTTCCAAAGCGGCTATTTTCCCCAGGGGAACTGAGCTCTGTCACCGGGAGATCAGATGCAATTCCAGGGGATTTCCAGCAACCGCCTGGAGGTTAGTAACCCTAGGCGTTGGGAGGCTGAGGTTTAGGCTTCTCGGGTCTCTGTCCTCTTTATCATCTCTTCCCCCCCCCCCCCCGGTCCCGGGAAGAGGAAGAAATCGTGGCAGGTGGGGGTGGAGCCTAATGGCAGAGGACTTGATGATTGGGCACGGAGGTGGCCGCTGTTGGAGCTTCTGGGGGGTGGAGCCTGAGGGGCTGGTGGTGGGACCCGGGGGTAGTCGCGGGGTGGTACAGGTAGAGGTATGGCAGCTTTTCCTACCTGTGAGCTAAGCTTGGGTGGGAGGTGGTGACTGCCCAAAGGTCACTCAGTAAACGTATTACCTAAGCCAGCGTAGTATAACTACCTGGGGATTCTGGTGGGAGGCAGGCAAGGAATATAAAACATGTACTGTCATTACAACACATTTTTCTTGTAGGCTTGGGACACAAACTGAGTAAGACATCTCATGGTTTGTTTGCATCTGACAGGGAAAAATATGCTTATGAAGTCACTTAACTATGATTGGTTTGTTTCTGAATGTTTTAGTCTTCTCTTACTTTTTTTTTCTTTCCCCTAAAAGATTTGTTTCCTTTAAACAATAAGATTGCTTATCTTTTTTTTTAAAATGGTTGTGATCTACTATTTTGTTCCCAAGGATTAACCTGCCGGTCACAGTGGCTTTGTGTATAAAGTTGCCTATTTGGAACTGAGTTAATTTGGATTGAAGTTCTCCCTGGAAATTCAGTTCCTTCCTGCTTTTCTCCTCATGACTCCTTGCGAAAAAAATGGATTGCTGCTTATATTTTGTGATTCTTCAGCACCTATATCTCATGAGATGTTAGGGGGAAAAATTCTCCATATCACTGAGCAGTGTTACATAATCAGGCGGAGTCTGGTTACTCTCCAAGCAGCTGTTCTAAGAGGTTAAGCTGCTTTGGGGAGGGTGTGCCCAGCCCTTTTGTTTTGTAGATCTTGATATATTGGTGGTGGAAAGTGGTGTCAAGTCGCAGCTGACTTGGGGGGGGGGTGGGTCCTTTTTTCAAGGCAAGAAGTGATAAAAACTAATATAGAAATGATGCCTAGATATCTATGTATGCATCTGTGGCCAGTTTTCATAGTAACCTTTAAAACATATAAGGCTAGATAGAGATGCCACAAACATGAGTTGAATTGGAGCACATGAACATTCCCTGGAAAAAAGTCCAACAGCAGTTGGAAATTGACAGTTGAATGTCTTGTGCAGGAGAACTACTTGGGTGTCTTTTGCAGGAGAAGAGAGAGCTGAAAAGGGGGAGTTGTGGCAGACACTTTGGTAGCAAAGAAAGGTATAAGTCAGTCTGCAACATAATATCTGCATTGTTAATATTGTGTTTGTATACTGAGTGTATTTCCAGTGTGTGTTGCGATTTAAAGAGCTTTACTTCTGAAGTAAGGCTGATGTAACTGTTTAATACCTGAACTGAGTTACTTATGTTCAGTTCTGCTCCTAGCATGTCTACTTAGATGTTCATTCCAAGCATAATACAATAAAGATGGTTGGCTGGAGTAATCTGTCCAACTGGAACATGGAATGATATCCTGGGTGGTAGCAGAGTAAATGGGATGAGATAGGAGTAATGTTACATTGTGAATAGCTGGAAATCCTAGATTTGGGGAGATATAAAGTGAATATTTCAAGCAGTGAAAATTCAATTTGTGGGTATTTATAATTTATATACTGCCCATCTCTGAATATCCAAGAGCTCAAGGCAGTTAAAAACAGCAAAAACATACATGCATCGATAAAAACAATTTGGGCAAGAAATAGATAGACATTCATAGATGGCTCTGAAATAATTCCAAATTGTGTTACTGTCTCGCAAGAGAGAAGCGGGAGGAGAAGGGAGTGCCAGACTCGCTGTCCTCAACTAAAAGCCTGGCAGAACATCTCTGCCTGGGAAGCCCTGCGGAACTGCATTAGGTCTCACAGGGCGCGGATGTTATTTGGCAAAGCGTTGTACCAGGCAGGAGCCAGGGCCGAGAAGGCCCTGTTCCTGGTCAAGGACAGCCAGATGTCTTTTGGACTGGGGATCACCAGTAAGCTTTCTACAGACTGTAATGCTGTTCAGGGGACATACCAGAGGAGGCAGTCCCAAAGATCCGTGAGACCCAGACCACTCAGAGCTTTAAAGGTCAAAGCCCTGAAGGTTAGCCTGTTGCAGCAGAATTACACAAAAGTAATTTAAAGAATAACATTTATTTTAGCGTGAGCTTTTATTAGTCCAATCTCATTTCTTCAGACACATAATAGTCATCCATTAGGCCTGGTTAGGTACCCAGCTGAAGGGGAAGGGGGTAAGGTTTGTTACAAAAAGAAGCTGGTATAAAACAAGCTCCAGGCAAAAGAGCAGTCAGTCTGCCCAGAATGAGTGTGAGAGACTCCCAACAAGTATAACAGGTGAAAATTGAATTCAGAACTTTTGTGTTGTGTCCTACTTTTGTAAAGATTTTGAACAACAGTGATAACATTTAGATCAGTAATAGTGTGCCTTGGAAGATCAAAATGTTCCTCACCTATATGTGAACATTGTGTTTTTTTTGTAGTTTGTGTGCCTTGGAAGATTAAAATGTCCCTCACCTGTTTGTGAACATTGTGGGGTTTTTAATGGTCTGTGTGCCTTGGAAGATTAAAATGTTCCTCAACTATTTGTGGACATTGTGTGTGTGTGGGTTTTGGACAGGTTTGTGTCCATTCTTTTGCGTAGGGATTACCCTGTTCATCTAGTGAGCCGGTGGATGAGGCCAAGGTGGGGTGGTTGATGTTGTTAGGTCATATAATAATATAGCCTGACCTTATATGGAGACAAAGATGGCATCTAGATTTGTTGCCAGGTTAGTGTCTCTGGTGATCCATGCAAGCTGGAACTGGTTTTGATGTTTGTGACAACTTCACAACTACCTCTGGGTTCCCCCAAATACATGGCTTGCTAAGTTGCTGTTAGTCAGTGTAGTCCACTTACACTGGTCTCCTGGGCTTGATCTGTCTTTTGGGTTTTTATTTGGTGTTCCTTAATGGAAGTTCCATTTTCAACTGTACTTCAAGTCAGACTAAATGAGATACTTGCTGATCCAAGAGTTACACTATCAGTGGGCTTTTAATTGACCCTCAGGTTTTGATGAGGGTAGGAGGGAGTTAACTCTTCCTCCCATGCCACTTTCACAACTTTAGGCCCCCTTTCTGAGAACTGTCCATGGAACTCTGTATCTAATCTGGGGAAGCCCTCAGTCAATAAGTAGTAAAACAGCTGCAAAATTTTTGGTGAGACATCTGAAACTACATCTTGCTTTGCAACATTTTGTCTTCTAGAGGTGGACAGATGGCAAAGTCTGTTACATCAGTATGTCATCTGACTTTCATTTTAGAAATCCCAATCAAGTCAGAAATTCAGTCACTATGCATATCTGTCCTTAAAGAGTGGATGGAAGAAGGGTGGAACACAAAAGCATCCAATTAATAAGCCCCGCAAAAGACACAATTGTATTTTCTTGGAGTAAAGATAATGTTATCTTTAAGAGGAAATGTTCAAATGTGCATATTTAGAGTGGGGCTTGACCACTATGATTTCTCTTTTTTTTAAGCCTGAAGACTCTCAGCGGTTGATTTATTCTGGGAAGCTGTTGCCTGACCATCTTTGCTTGCAAGAGGTGCTTGCCAAGGTACTTAATGCGACATGATAACACTGCTTGTAAGAAGTGTGCATAATATTAAGTAAATATAGGCTGCATTCACATGGGATGGGACAATGCACTGGATTGGCTTCTCTGCACAGGACAATCCAGTTGTGAATGATTGCTTAAGCACCATGGTGTGTAGATAACAGCTGTAGTCAACATAAGTTTTATTCTATTTGCTGATTTTGTGTTTCAGCATGAGATGGTGCATGCTGTCCACCTGGTGTGTAACTCAAAAAATGTGCCACATGTACAGGAAACTGATGGGAAGGTACGTTATTAACAGATATTTTCGATTAAGATTTCTAACCTGCCTTTTCCCTTTTAAAATGGTGCTTTATATGTTGAAGGAAATGGTGTCTGGAGAGTTTTGGGTACAGACTCTCCAGATTAAGATAATTGAGACTCCTGGGAGGCTACAGTTCCTCAACACCCCCCCCCCCCCCCCGGATATAGCACCTTTGATGGAACCTTTATTTTTAACAATGATAGCTCAATTAGCTATTGATAAAACAGTCCTCTTTGACTTATTTGCTTTATTATTTGTTTAGAAAGTGTATATGCTGTTTTGGGCAATTATGACAAATAGCAAAACATTTGCAATGCAGCATTAATTGGAGCAATGACTTTTTAAGCATCTGTATTATACGTAGGTCCATTGGGTTTGCTGAAATGCTGAATTGAGTTTAAAGCCAGGAGGGCATGGAAGATATTAATAATACAGCCAGGGGCCAGCATACTTACATGACCACCTCTCCCCATATGAGCCCTGGAGGGCCCTGAGGTCCATAAACTAACATCTTTTAGTGGTCCCCAGCCCCAGGGACATCTGATTAGCCTCGAACAGGGCCTGGTGGGATGAGCTGCCCTATGAGATCAGGGCCCTGCAGGACTTATTGCAGTTGCACAGGGCCTGCAAGATGGAGCTCTTCCACTGGGCATTTGGTTGTGGCAGCAGATGTCCCCCCCTCCAGCTTTTTTTGGCCAATCAACCATCAGTGGCCTGATCCTGATTGGACATTTGATTAGACATTGGACTAACTTAACATCTGATCTCTCTGCTTTACATGGTATTTTATGATATTATGTGCAAATTGTTATTTTAACATTATTTTAATTGTTGTACACCACCCTGAGCCCGTTTGGGGAGGGCGGTATATAAATAAAATAAATAATTTGGAAGTTGGACCATGGTGCTTCTGTTGTTAGTACAGATACTCGGTTAGGTGCCTGAACAGGTAGTTGATAGCTTAATTGCTATTCATGCTAAATTGCATTCTGTGTCAGCCAGCTGTTGTTGTGTGATTGGTCCCAAGAAGCACAGGTTGAATGCTGGAGGCATTGTCCACATTAGATGATCAGTTCATGTTGATATGGCAAGCTGCTCCCCCATCAGCAGTTACAGTTCTCCTTCCCACTCTTCCTGTTTGAGAATGAACAACCAGGCACTATCTAAAAAATATTTTCTTGCTTAGGTTGCTGAGGCCCAGAAAGAGTCAGCCGCATGTAGCCAAGGTCCTTCTGTACCTTCATCAGCCAATGCTGGGAATCATAGGGAGAATTCCTGCAACCAGCCTTTTACAACAGGGGAAGCTGGTAATAGGTATGTATAGTACAGATACAGAAAACCTTGTAAGGGTGCTGCAGGCAGTTTTCTCTCAATGGAACCTTGACTGCAGCTCAGTTAAATTCTTATTTTTGCAGCATAGAAAGTAATTGATTTACCAGTAGGATATATAGTGATTATTCAGTCTACAGCTTTTCAGAAATCTTTGCATCTCTTTAGGGATGGGGGTGGAGGTGGAGTAGTGGTACTTAATCAAATATCTTGTATCTCCTGATATAAGGCCTCATCTGACACAGCATACCTTTCAAGGCATGAGTCCTGGCTATCATTCATATACCACCTACCGCATGATGCAGTTGTGGTTCCAGCAGATTTATGCACGGCAATACTACATGCAATAGTAAGTCTTTGTTTCCTTAGTTTATCATTACTGGCAACTAACACAAGTCTTTCCAAGTCTCTTGACAAATTGATGGCGTAATGTGGCTTAAAAGCATTTTCCCCTAGCTTTCCAGTTTGCTAGCTAAATTGAACTCAATGTAGAGATTAATAAGAAGGCTACATTAATGTTTGGTCACTTACTGAACTGAATTCAGTACAGGAAGACTGTACTGCGTACTTTAGAACTACTAGAGCTTACTGAAACGTATTTTGACTCTCCCCACTAACCATGAGAACTTAATATACAGCAGGATAGTTTTAATGTGAATTGAAATTCCACAAATACTTGCTTTACAAAAAAGTGTATTGCTTTATCTTCGACGTTATCTCTGTGCTTCACACCCATGGAATCTAGCGCGCACGTGCTGGATCGATCGGCATTGTAGCAAGCTCTTAACGGATTTTCGCGCCCAGACCTCAGGCATGCGTAGGAACGCCACCGCGCATGCCCAGAGGGGTGGGCGTGGACATCCGCCACACTCTCTGCATTTTTTGTTTGGGAAAGTCTCACCGACCTGAATCTTGTCAGCACTGTGCTAGGTTTTCGAACCAGACACGAAAAAACCGAACTGCGCGCCTTAAAGTGGTGCTACTTGAGTTGGCGTTACATCCTCCCTCAGTGATGGAGTCCGAGAGACCATCGATGGCTCCGACATCAAGGCCCTCCTCCGACATCAGCCAGCCGACACCAAAACCACCGGCATCTAAGTCGAGCAGGACTCAGTCTCCGCGGGTGGGAAATGAACCCAACCTACCTTCTACCACTCTTCCGCAGGTGGGCAGTTCTCCAAGTCGATGTTTTTGCCACCAGAGCCAACAAAAAGTGTCATCTGTTCTGCAGCCGAGGTGGCAGGGATCCACAGTTGCTAGGGGACAGTCTCCTCTATCCATGGTCCAGGGAACTTCTCTACATCTTCCCTTCACTACCCCTGCTTCTGAGAGTAGTCCACAAAATCATCAGCGACAGAGCAGACTGCATCCTGATAACCCCGTGGTGGCCGAGGCAGCCATGGTTCTTTCAGTGGGGGTCTACTACCAATTTCCTCCGGCACAGGACCGCCTCTTCCTGTCCGACTCCCCGCTCCTGTACCACGACGTGCCATGGATGAAGTTGACAGCCTGGAGAATAATGTCAACAGCTTTTCCACCCACGTAGCAAACATTTTGCTAAACGCCAGGAAACCTACTACACAAAAGTCATACCATTACAAATGGCGAAAATTCTGTTCCTCCTTGGGTGATGTTGCCCCTCGAGCCACCTCCATAGCCTCAAGAAAGTTTTCCAATTCCTCCTGTCTCTAGCTGACTCGGGACTTTCTCACTCCTCATTAAGAGTTTATTTGGCCGCACTTTCAGCCTACTATGTTCATGTTGAGGGATGCACACTGTTTTCGCATCCGCTTTCGAAACGTTTCTTGAAGGGACTGTTGCACCTATACCCTCCCATCAAAACTCCTGTCGTTCCCTGGGACCTTCCTCTAGTTCTTCGTCAGCTCAC